CGTGGATTCCATACTTGAATGGCGTACTCCGTGTGTGGCCGAACGAATGCTAATAGCAAGCGTGGGAACAGTGCTCTTTCGAACTGCCCGAAAACACGTTTGAGTAGTCCGACTTTGCTTTATAGCCATGGATGATGCTCTGGCACAGTGCGTTGAACATCCTACGTCCTCCTTTACCATAACTTCCAAATCTCTTCCGTCCGTGGCACACGGTAGTATTTGGTTTCCCAGAACATAGGAGAAACGAGTCTTGTGCCGCATGGAAATAACTTTGCATTTGGAAACGTTGAACTCGATGTCATTGTTAGTTGACCATCGGTGGGCTCCATTGATTGTTTGTTGGAGTGCTGTATAATCCTCCGGATATGTTACAATCCTTCAGATCATAGCGTAGTCCGCAACTAGCAGTGTATTAAGCCCAAGGACATGTGACAGGTGGTTTATAAATGCAAGAAAGAGACGAGGTCCTAGTACAGATCCTTGCGGAACCCCTTGGGCAGCGGTGATAGTCTCTGATAATGAATCACCAACACGAACTGATATGGTTCTTTGTAGAGTTTTCGCAGTAAAATTTGGTGGTTTGCACCATCAAATGCTTTGGAGAAGTTCAAATGAACTATATTCAATGGCTGGCCTGCATCAACGGATTTTGTCCACTCATCCCGTGCGGGGAGTAGGTTTGTGGTGCACGAACGCTTGTGCCGAAAGCCGTGCTGGGTTGGAGATAAAGGCTCATGCTTCTCCAGATATTCCATCAACAGATCTGCCACAATAGCTTCCATGACTTTTGACAGTATCGGAAGAAGTGTCACAGGGCGGTAGTTGGCGCGGTCACTGCAAGGATCGAGTTGAACGGCAATAACGATCAGGAATAATCTACGCAATCCCGTGCCTGGGCTGCCGCCACACTACATAGGTGAGACAAGAAAACTACGCACTCCCCTACACGAACACAAGCTTGCCCTCCGACGCGCTGACCGGAGGTCACAAATCTGGATCGCGATCGATGAGGCAAAGGTTGTGGCGCGAGATAAGAAGAAGGGGGAGCGATTAATCCTGGAAGCTCTGCACTCGATCAATTCGTTCAATCGACTCGTCGAGATAGACAAACATTATGTCACACTCGCAAAACCCATGACGATTGGTGGACTTATAGACGTACAAAAAGCACACAGGTGCACAGAAAGACGGTAATCCCGTTATCTCATTCATTTCATTTACGTTTAACAACGAGTCCTAGTTCGGATCTAAACGTTACAATAAACATATTACAACTCAGTGTACGCCTCCATTCTCTCTTGAT